TGCACCTCTGTGACCCAACGAGCTACACAGGATGGCTTTTATCAAGCCACGAGATCTATTCATGCCTGGAAGGTCAATGGGTGGAGGTCGGACAAAGTTCAGTCTCCTGGTCCTCCAGATTGGGGTTTCGAGTGGAATTTACGTTTCAGTCGGTAAAAAATGGTGGAGGAATAAGCGATCCAAGTAAATAGGCCCCCATTTCGCTTCAACCGCTGCCTTGCGGTTAGGTTCTTGTTAAAACTGAAGGCTTTGGACGAAAACCGTAATCGCTCTCCTGCTTAGTGGCTGGATACCCTAGCAGTACCCGTCCATCAAACCCCAATGCATACACAAACAAAAAACAAATTCGTACTGCATCGGTCGTCGCGCAGAATAATCAGGACCGGGCTGCTCATTGCATCGAGGGGTGGGTAGTTGTTAATACGCGATTCGTATGTACGGTACTTCGCTAATCTTTGGTCGAATGTACGCACCCTGAGGTCAATATCAATATCAGAAGATAGTCAGAACGTCTCGGATTCTTGTCTTTGGCGGTTCTGTAATAAAACAATACTTCAACATACGGTATGCTAAACAAGAAGGTCGAAATTGAAAGAAAGCGTACATTCGAAGTAATTTGACCAGCACCAGTCCAACAAGCAGCACCAATGTGTGATGGTCAGAGCAAACAGTAAGCAAACCAAGATGGCCGGCCGCCAAGACAAAGTCAGATTGCAGTCAACCAATGGGAAAGCAGGAAACAGGGAAGATGCTCCGAATAGAGTTTGACTACTGAAAACGGTCAATAGTAGCAATGTAACAGTTAACCATGGACAGAATGTTACAATCATCGTAGTTTTGATATTCTAATAGCTTTTCACCAAACGTAATATACACGAGCAAACTCCCTAACCACTGGAATCACTTTTGTCTTTACCAGTCCCGACAAGTTGCGCAAAAGAGAAGCTCAGACAAATCAGACGATTCTTATTTTGGAATGGAAATGAAACGAAGCACGTTCACCTTGTCAAATCATCACTCAGTTGTTGCTCGCCATATTGTGCCTTCCACGGTGACCGAGGAGAGCTCGAGTGTATGCAGTTCGGATGCAGTGACTTTTGCTGAGTCAAACTATGTCATTCACAACACTCCCTCAAATCGTCAGTTGACACCAGTAAGCTTTTTGTGATTTTTGTGGGTGAATTTCATGAGTTCCCATGCTCCATGTACGTGATTAGGTCCGCTGCTCCATATAAGGGTATTATATAATACCCTATACTCTATATAAGACTATCGCATCGCCATGTTACTTTGCACGTTTTCATTTTAATGTTGTACACCATTGTGTAACGAACGGCGGAGTCAACCTTCATGGTCACGCAGATACACTGTTCCCTCACGATAGCCTAATGCCGGGGACTCAGAATAGCTAACCGCATGAGGTCCTTTTGAGATTTGTGAGCCATTGATCCGGACGCCAGCGAAGTCGCGTGCCACACTGGGTTGCATGTGCATCCGCCAAAATAATTCTCAGTGGTAAAGAGTATCCCACTTTGCACCGCATTGCTCAGGTTCCTCATGAATTGTTTCATGAAGCCAACTCATCCCAATTTAGGAGTTAGGGGCTACAGCACGGATTTCCCTTTATCGTAGCATGAATCTGATGCAACAATGTGATCAATATTCTTGATGGTCAGCGTAGGGCAATAAGTTGAGATCAATTATTACGGAGAGTGCTCAACTTTCATAGGTGGATTCCGAGCACTCGTATGTCTTCTTGGTACGAAGTGTTTGCCCAGGTTTATGCTATTTTCAGGTGACCTACAGACTGCCAATGGTTGACCCGGTATCAAAACCCGATTGTTGTAGTCATTCCATATTCTAGTTATAATCCACAGACTCAGTCCATTCTTCGATTTTCGTGTTATGGAGTCTTTCATGGTGATTTTTTTAAAATTATAATCAGTATTTGCACCATTGTGAGATAGCTCTGAAAGAACTGTCTATCCGATAGTCACCCGTTGTTGCAAACAAGGTTAATGTGACAAAAATACGTTTCCTGAGTACAAGTATATGGATGAACGGACAGAAGATTACCGGATACGCATGCCTGACGAGCGGCAAGAACCGCGAAACCGGTCGTGTGCTACCAGGGAAATTCTGTCCAGTCATTCACATACTACTTATTACGATATATATATATATATATTGGAGAGAAAAAGAGAGTATGTTTGGGTTAACTATAAAACATGGCATGCGCATTGGTCCTGTTTTAATTTCACTAGAGTATCTTGGATTGTTCATATAGCCTTTCTCCTGCTTCCACTAACGCGATCTCTGAAAGTTTGATTTCAGCAACACAGCACTGAAATTAGTGGCCGCGTATTTCTTCTCAGCCCACATAATGCAAGCCTTTCACGTATGACTCCATAATCATTTTTAAAAACATCGGTCATGTGCTCACTCTTTTCCTGAAGACACTGTTAACTCCCTTGTGGTTCACATTTGACGACTCTCTTCCCCTTGGTAATTTCATATATTAACTTCTGTCTTTGTTCGTTTTCCCAACCTTGGTTACCATCGGTTCAGGCTCACCTCCGTGGCTCCATACGAGATCGCATCAAACGCCATCCGATTTTGCGTTCGCATATCTTGTTTCCTTTGAAAGTAATCAGAGCAAAGTATACTAGGAGTTGCTTTAAATACGAGTCTTTGGAGTAAAACCAATTTTTATTTGAGCTTCACAGAAATTTTTAGAAACCATACGCTCATTTAAAACATTATTTTGTTTTACTGAGACGATAAGCCTTTATATGAATTCTTGTCTCAAATTAGTTTCCCTGTGAAGGTTTTTAATTTACATTCACTCTACTTATTCATATGCTTGCATCGTTTGACAGAAAGCTGCCACACTGAATCGACTGAATCGACCCCATGATTTCATCCCACGATCTGTATTGCGAATGGATGTGTGCAGTGCATGCGGTCGACGCATTGCGTTTGGAAAAACCGCATACAAATGTGCTACGTGCGGCTTGTTGGTTCACGAATCGTGCCAGAAAAAAGTAAGCACTTTTGTTTCATACTTCTTCTGACCATTTTTGTCACCCTCGTTCGCGTAGTATTCACGTAAAGCTTTCTGATTAAATCACCTCCAGCTTGCTCAGACATGTGTTCCGCCAAGTGCCTCACGTACTCCATTGTCCGCTGTGAATCACACGCATGCATGGGCTACTTCACCACGACGCTGCCCCTCCAGTGTGATCGCGTCACAACAAGCTATAGTTCCGGCACTTCCGTTCGGGAGTTCGCGATCCAGGGGACCGATTGTAGCTCCAACAAGCCCAACCTTATCCGTACGACTGCGCAATATCAATCTGGCTGAGTTTTGCCCGGAAGATCAGTTTCCTAGGATCCCTGCACTTATAATTCACTGTGTGACTGAGGTAGTCGCGCGTGGCATGAATACAGTTGGTCTGTATCGTGTTTCAGGATCGGAGAAACAAGTTCGAGGTAAATGTTCTTTATATGGACTTGTGTAATTATTCCTTTGGCATTAATCGTGGTAATACTAATAATGATGATAATAATGATCTACTTTCTTGAACAGAATTGCATCGAGTATTTCCGGAATCATTTTGCTGCTTCTTATCTGACCCTGACTACAGAACAAAATGGATTGGTTTGTCCCAGTGCTCTGAGTCATAAAAGGGTTAGGATGAACCAGTCTAACGCATTACCGCGGTAGAATCAAGGTCACATAAAATTTCTCCTGTCGGCACAACTCAGGTTTCTATAGCTTGATCGCTATCGCCTCCAGAGGTCGTAGTAACGTTGACCTTCTGGCCGAATGGTTAAATCTGAATGATTTATCACGATCGTCCTGGTGGTATGTTCCTAACGCACGCCTCGCGATTGATGACGTAGAAGTTGTTTGCATGAGATTTGTGTTCAGTTGAGGTTGCGTAACACTCATTATGTTGACCCCTTGTTGAACTCCTGTGGGAATATACTCAGTTATGTAACTGTCTTACCGTCCCGTCGATGTAGCTGCCTCCACATCTAATTTCGAATTGATAGATAACGTATAGTTTGATTTTTGACCGGTAGCTTCGGTATCCGGGCTGTGGTATAAAGCAAGGCTGGAGAGGCAACAAAGTAAGTGAGAGGTTCAACGGCAGAATTAAGTCCATTATGTAACATTCGTCTTGCGACATCACCCCTGTGTGATAGTTCAAACTTGACTGCTAGCTTTTCTACTGACGTAATCAAGGTTCTTGTGTGTACATATGCACAATACTTTTGACATAATAACTATCAACTTTCAGTGCGCATTAAGCATATTACCGCTTAGATTGAAGGTTCTACAACGTAAATACTCTTCTACCTCGATTTATGATCATTCGAACTAATCCGCCGTGAAAGTGGAGATATTGCCCAGTGCATGTTGTTTTCCTGCACAGTGATCTAGAAATTGAACTATCGAGTGTGTGAGCAATGAGTATGTCTGGACGGGCTGTCCGCATCTGGTCTCAAAGACGGAGGTTCAGCGTTGGTCTCGGAATTGACGAAACTCTTGAGAGCAGTGTGGGNGGGAAAGAGAAAAGGTTCCAACTGAGTGATGTTGATTGGCCATCATACAGAGTTGCCAGAAAACCACAGGGGAATTATTTTTATCAACATCGTCTCTAAGCTTCTCGCTGGTGTTATACTCGCATGATTGTCTGCCGCACACAAGCGGTTTGTTCGTGAGAACCAGCCGGTTTTAGACCTGATCGAGGTTGTATCGACCATATCTTCACTCTTTGCCAAACTATGGAGCACTGACATTCTTTTCTTAGACCCATCATCTCTGTTTTCCCCGATTTGAAATCGGCTTTCGACTCAGTCGACCTCTGTGGTGATCAGCTGGAAGTAGTTGAGAGCTTAAAGTACCTCGGGAGCTTGATCGCAGCTGGCGTTGGTGTTGGAGAAAAGATAGCTTCATGAATAGCGGAAGCTAGCGCAGCTTTCGCCAACCTGCACCACCTGTGGTGCCGCCATGACATCTGACTATCCCCTAAGGGTAGGGTGTACATCGCTGCAGTGCGTAGCGTTTTGCTTTACGGCTGCGAGACCTGGCCTCTCTACGTTGAGGATACTAATCGACTTTCTTCATTCGACCACCGATGTCTCCGAAGCATTGCTCGTGTCTGATGAGACTACCGGAT